TTTATTATTTTACTTTCTGGCGGTTATTATTTTAGTATTCTTGCGGTTATAACTGACAAAAATGAAAATTTTATTATTTTAAAATGTTATGTTGATTAAAAATAAATAAATAAACACATTTTTTTTTTAAAAAAAATTTCACTCATGACCCTAAAGTCTAATGAACCCAATTCCCATGAGCCATAAATTTTATAAGAGAATAATAACAACAAACTACAATCTGAAGCTCTATCATTTTTGTAATAAAGATTATGCTCCCTCATAGGCAAGCAACAAGATACAAAGAAATTCAAACAATTTTTTTTCAATGCATCACAAAGCACATTGTTTGGCACATAAACACACATGAACATTTGGTGTACTCTATCATGTCTGATTTTATTATTTTAAAATGTTATAATGATTAAAAATAAATAAATAAACACATGTTTTAATTTTTTTTTTCACTCATGGCCCTGTCGGATATAACCGACACGAACAAAGCAAAATTTTGGACGATCGCCAGAATAATCTCTTAATGTTTTTTTTTTTTTGCTATTTTTTACACATGCTATCTCAGAATATATACAAACATATTTGACGGTTGGATCGTTGTAACTAGCTTCATAGAATGCATATCATATCAAATTGATAGATTTAATAAACACTTAAGAGTTAATGTTATACTTCCATTAAGTATAAAATAAGATTTATCCACTAGTGTAAATATTTTAAATTGAAGATCGAATTCATTCATTGCATTCTTATAGGATCGAGGAGTGTAGATGCAAAAAATCATCAAAATCGGAGCTAAAATAACCGTTAAATTGTGATTTTTCGTTTATAACCATCGAAAACTTTTGTTCTGTTACCTACTCTCTGAATGTTTGTTTTTTACGATTTTTTAGGTATGCGATCTTGGAGTGTGTACAAACAAGTTTGACAGTTGGATCCGTAAAAAACATTTCGTAGAATGCGTATCACATCAAAACGGTAGATTAAACCAACACTTATAGTTAATATTATACTTCCATTAATTATAAAATAAGATTTTGTGGTATCATCTAGTATAAATATTTTAAATTGAAGATCAAATTTATTCATTGCATTCTTATAGGTTTGAGGAGTATAGCTGTAAAAAATCATTAAAATTGGAGTTAAAATAACCGTTAAATTATGATTTTCGTTTATGACTGTCGAAAACTTTTGTTCCATTACGTAATCTTTGAATGTTTGTTTTTTACGATTTTTTTTACGTATGCAATCTCGGAGTATGTACAAATAAGTTTGACAATTGGATCGTTGAAAAAAGTTTCGTAGAATGCATATCGCGTCAAAACAGTAGATTAAACAAACACTTGGAGTTAATATTATATGTTCATTAAGTATAAAATAAGATTTGTGGTATCCACTAGTATAAATATTTTAAATTGAAGATCAAATTCATTCATTGCATTCTTATAGGGTCGATGAGTGTAGCTGTAAAAAAATCATCAAAACCAGAGCTAAAATAACCGTTAAATTGTGGTTTTTCGTTTATAACCGACGAAAACTTTTGTTCCGTTACCTACTCTCTAAATGTTTGTTTTTTACAATTTTTTACGTATGCAATCTTGGAGTGTGTACAAATAAGTTTGACGGTTGGATCGTTGAAAAAAGTTTCGTAGAATGCATATCACGTTAAAACTGTAGATTAAACAAACACTTAGAGTTAATATTATACTTCCATTAAGTATAAAATAAGATTTTGTGCCATCCACTAGTGTAAATATTTTAAATTGAAGATCAAATTTATTCATTGCATTCTTATAGGATCAAGGAGTGTAGCTGTAAAAAATAATTAAAATTAGAGTTAAAATAACTGTTAAATTGTGATTTTTCGTTTATAACCGTCGAAAACTTTTGTTTTGTTACGTAATCTCTCAATCTCGGAGTGTGTACAAATAAGTTTGATGGTTGGATCATTAAAAAAAGTTTGGTAGAATGCATATCGCGTCAAAACAGTAGATTAAACAAACACTTATAGTTAATATTATATGTTCATTAAGTATAAAATAAGATTTTTTGGTATCCACTAGTGTAAATATTTTAAATTGAAGATCGAATTCGTTCATTGCATTCTTATAGGGTCGAGTAGTATAGCTGTAAAAAAACGTCAAAATCGGAGCTAAAATAACTGTTAAATTGTGGTTTTTCGTTTATAACCGACAAAATTTTTTGTTCTGTTAACTACTCTCTGAATGTTTGTTTTTACGATTTTTTACGTATGTAATCTTGGAGTGTGTACAAATAAGTTTGACGGTTGGATCGTTGAAAAAAGTTTCGTAGAATGCATATCACGTCAAAACGGTAGATTAAACAAACACTTAGAGTTAATATTATACTTCCATTAAGTATAAAATAAGATTTTGGGGGGAATTTATTTATTAAACCAAACAATTATTATTTTATTTTTTAAAATAGTAACAAAATTTTTGGGGGAATTTTTCCGCCATTTTTGTTCTGTCGGTTTATATTTTAAAAAATGTTTCTGTCGGTTTTAACCGACAGTGATAAAAATTTTCTTATACCCACATCCGGCCCCTACTCATCTCCTTCATTTTTCTGAAACCTAACTCTAAATCTCGACACTCTCCCTCTCTCTAAGCTCCGAGAATGAACCCCCATCATTCCTCTCAATTATGACCAAATCAACCCTAAAAAATCTGAACCTCGAACCCTTGGGACATGGGGAATCAACCTGCAGCATTGCATGTATCATCGATACATCACCGTGTGATTTGCCATTAACACTGAGAGCTTCACTCGAACTCCATCTCATGTATGGATTATTTTCCCCTCTTGGTTGTGTGGGTTCTAATCCATCTGTGATAAGTATTATGTCAAAAATCTCTGGGGTTTAATCTCTTTTTTGAATCTATGTTGAAGAACCAGCGCTGACTCTATGGAGGAGCATTGGGGGTGTTCTGGAGGGACTTCTTCTTGGCCTGCTTGAGAGAAGAGCACGGGGTGAGGAAGTGGGAGCGGCTGTTGGGTCGGGAGCTGAAGAGGAATGAGGAGGAGGAAGTGGCATGCATGTCATCATAGCGACGATTTCGGCGAATGTCGTTAAGTTTGAAGCTAGGTGGTGATTGTCTTCTTGGAAACCCACTCATCGTCTTCGTTTCGCTTCAAAGATCCGAGCTTTTCTACATGTCAGTGAAGTACAAATTTCTTTCATAACTCTCGATTCAATCGTCGTTTAATGCATTAATTTCAATGGTCCTTTTTCCCTTATTTCTTCTTCCTCTACTTTGTCATCATAGGTATGAATGCAGGGGATATGGAAAATGCAGAAAGTGGTTGTTTATATATATTTTAATTATTAATATATTTTCTATCGGTTTTATCTGACAAAAATGCTTTATTTTTTCTTATTAATAAATTCTCTGTTGATTATATCTGATAGCAGTTCTGGCGGTTTTAATATTTTCTGTCAGTTTTAGCAGACAGAAATGCTCTTATTTATTCATTATTAATATATTCTCTGTTGGTTATATCCGACAAAATTTCTGTCGGTTTTAGAGTATTTTCTATCGAAAAGTTCATTTCCTGACGCTAGCAAATCTGTCGCTTATTAAATCTGCCACTGCATCCATTTTTTGTCAGATTTTGCTTAAAATCTGATAGTAATAAACATTTTTTGTCGGTTTTTGGACCGCCAGTTATAGATAATTTTGTAGTAGTGTGAGGGTGGTAAAATGTCTCAAGTTCTCAGCCCATCTGAACGTGCCTTCAATTTTAGGAATATTGAAATGTGCAATTGGTGGAGACTACGGAAGGCGCATTCCTCCACCCTCCACTCCGTTATCGTGCTCGTATTAACAAAGGAAAGAACTTCGAGACGAGGAAACCCTCCTCCGGGGAAAGCCAGTACTTCTGTGTTCTCCTTGAAAGTGTTATTAAGCCTTAAAGTTGTAAGGCTTGGCAGCTTCTCTAGTATTTCATTGGTCGCCCTAGAGATGACAATTCCTCAATGATAGCTTGGTGACTGATGAGGTTTGGGTAGTTGTAGAGTTCTTTCGGTAATCCTGCGGTTGGACAATACAGCCTAAGTTTGTATGCATGCTGGCAGCTTGATACTATTTGCGTAACCTGCTCTACACAACTAATCACGTCAGAATTGGAGAGCTCTAGAGATCGGATGCGGTTAAGTTTCACATAAAATGAATCCCACATTGGGCTACTCTTCATATTGTCTATTGGTTTTATGATGGAACCTCGACCTTCTTCATTTTTTTCCTTATTTTGCATCATTGGAGATAATCATTCTATACACTAATAGGAAAGAGGAATCCGTCTCATCTTATGGTTAACAAAGTTTATTTATAGCATCTTTTTTAGCAGTTCCCATAAATTTCCAACAATAGCAACATATCAAACAATTAATCTATTAAGTTTAACCTTGATTTCATGAGATGTCTTGTTAGAAGATCTTTTAATGTACTTCAATTTGATAAAAAGACAAACAAATTCACTATAAACAACTCTAATTTCAGGTTGGTACCCATCTTTGACAAATGAATTATACGTATATCAAGAATCTAGGGTATCTGCTAAACTTAGTTATGCAAGCTAATCAAACTCTCAAATATCTGAAGAAAGCGCGTACACATGCATGTTAATGTTATCCAATTACATATCCCATTCTTGTCTGTAACTAGCTATCCCAATGTAAATTTTTTGTAGCTCTATGGCAGTCCACGATTAAAGGAGATACAGTTAATTATTACCATTAACCAGAGAAAAAGTGGACGACGTACTCGGACTATAATTAGGCGCTAATTAGCCATTACCAAGTGTTATTAAGTGTGCCTATTTTGGACAATATCCATACTTGGAAGCATGATTGACGACCATGCATCTATGTTGTCTGGACTCAGAGATTGAGAAATCTCCTACCTTACCATTTCTAACAGAATTAACCAACACTCAGATATTTGTGGTTTAGGGTTCCCTATAAATTCCACCACCATCCTACCATTCCAAACAAAACCAGAGCCACAGGGGCACCAAAAACACTTCCCTCGAATAAGAAAAGCCCCGACAGCGCTCTGTAGCTCACTAGAAAAAGAAAAAATAATTATAAAAAAGAAAGACCTTTCTTCTTCAATTAATTTTTTTTTCTTTCTCGATCATACGGGCGTTTCTGGTGCTGTTTTTTTTATTTTTTATTTTATTTTTTGTGTATTACTTTAATTTATATCACTCAAGATGGCAGCTAGTGAATCAAAGAAGAAGAAGATAGCCATCATCGCCGTATTGGTTGTACTTCTGGTGGCGATGATAGTGGCGGTGACGGTGGGTGTCAAAATGGCCAAAAAGGGCAACAAGAAGCCTGCCAAGGTTGGTGCGAAGAAAAAGGCCATCGAGACCATATGCCAGGCCACCACCTACAAAGAAACCTGCCAAAGCAGCCTCGAAAAGGAGACGGGTGACACCACCGACCCGAAGGACCTGATCAAGGCCGAGTTCCAGGTGGCGGCGGACAAAGTTAATGAGGTGATCAAGAACTCGAACACCTTGAAAGAGTATGCCAAGGATCCAATGGCCAGCCAGGCTCTGGGCGTGTGCAAGGAATTGTTGGAAACCGCAGTTGAAGATCTCCTCGGGGCGGTTGATAAGATGGGGCCATTCGATGTTAGCAAGATCAGTGACTACCTTGCAGATCTCAAGGTGTGGCTGAGCGCCGCCGTCAATCACCAGGCAACCTGCCTTGACGCGTTTGAGGACACCAAAGGCGAGGCCGGCGAGAAAATGAGGGGCTTTTTGAAGACAGCGCAAGAACTCACCAGCAATGGACTTGCCATGGTCTCGGAAATCTCTCGTCTCGTCGATTCTCCTAAATTGAACTCTCACCGTCGCCTCATGTCCTCGTCAAAAGGCGGGCAGACAAAGAGGAATTATAAGCCAGTGCCAGGGTGGATGAGTGATCGCCATCTGGATCTCTTGACTGCCACTCCGGAGAGCTTGAAGCCCAACGTGGTTGTGGCTAAGGATGGGACTGGCAAGTATAAGACCATCAACGAGGCCTTGAAGGAGGTCCCACAAAAGAGCAACGAGGCCTTTGTGATTTATATTAAGAAGGGAATGTACGAAGAGACTGTCATCGTTGACAAGGAAATGACCAATGTTGTGATGATTGGTGACGGTCCAACCATGACCAGGATCAGCGGAAGCAAGAGCCACGCGGATGGTATCACAACCATGAACACTGCAACCTTTGGTACGTAACACTTAACCTATTCATTCACCAAATTATTAACGGATGTTACACTGCAAAAAAATCTGACAATAGCCATTAACACGTCACAGAGGTGGGATAAAATTACGAACATATTAGTAACCCAAGTGGTCAGTTTATATTGGTTACTTCGGACTCGATGGGGTTGAATTACGATTAACTGTGCATTCTAACTCTACCTCATTTTCTCACCCTCCGTCTACACTTCGTTCCTGCAGCCGCAGTTGGAAACTATTTCGTTGCCAAGGGAATTGGGTTCGAGAACACAGCAGGACACGTAAAGCACCAAGCCGTGGCACTGCGTGTGCAATCCGACTTCTCCATCTTCTTCAACTGCCACATGGATGCATACCAAGACACACTCTACACCCAAACCTACCGCCAATTCTACCGCGACTGCACCATCACTGGTACAGTAGACTTCATCTTTGGCGATGGGGTGGCTTTGTTCCAAAACTGCAAGATGGTGGTGAGAAAGCCAGGGGAAGCACAGGCTTGCATGGTGACAGCACAAGGCAGGACTGACCGCAACGAGATCACCGGCATTTTCCTCCAAAACTGCACCATCACCGGTGAGCCAGATTACATGGCTGTGAAGGATAAGAACAAGGCATACTTGGGGAGGCCATGGAAGAAATTTGCAAGGGTAGTTGTGATGCAGTCATCGATTGACGAAGCCATTGCACCTGAAGGGTGGACAGAATGGACTGGTGAAAAATACCACCAAAACTGCTTCTTTGGTGAGTACGGAAACAGGGGTCCTAGGAAGGACATGACCCAAAGGGTCAAATGGTCAACCGTCAAGAGACTCACTCCTGATCAAGCTGCGGCTTTCACCCCTGCTAGGGTGTTTGAGGGTGATAAGTGGGTAAAGCCCAGTGGGGTTCCATATGTTCCAGGCATGATGCCCGTGTAATTCCCAAATGAAAAGTTTGGGACACCAATTTTCATATGAAAATCTTACAAGACCAATTTTTTATATATAAAACAAAAAAACAAATTTACATCATAGAGTATATCGTCTTGTGATTTTGTGGAACACCTTTTAATCTCATTCCAATTCGTTTGGCTTCACATACGAATCTAAGTTATGAAATCAATTTTTTTTTTACAAAGGGGGTGGATATGGCCTTTTTTTTATAAGGAACTTTAACGAAAAGCTTTTGGTACTATTTATTTTAACGAAAAACCATATTTTTATTCTAAAAAGTCAATCGTGATACTATTCACTTACAACACTTTTTTTTTAATTTTCATTAAAACACAAAGTTTTCAGATCATTTTCATTAATTTTTTTTTTATATTATATAGATCATGTGACAAATATATGAGACCTTCTTTCACGTAGTCTTCCAAAAAAGAAAGCAAAAAAATTATTTTTGGACAAGTATTGATGTCATAAAGCGAAACCTACAGCAACAATTCAAGCAAACTTTAAAACACACTGATTGTCAATCAACAAAAATCATCATCACTTTTACAATATATCATTAGATAACAACCAAAACAACAACAAACCTTATTTCACTTAAGTGAGATCGGCCATATAAATCCTATAACGTCACTGCGCTCGGTTTTGCTTCGAGTCTTTCATGAGCTCCAAGTACTCCGTATCTTTTTTTAAAGTCTTTGTCCAAGTCTTTTTAGGTCTTCCTCTAACCCTTTTGCACTGAGTATTTGTCTTATAATCGCATTTTGTAACCATACCATATATAGGTCTTGGTTTCTCATGTTCAAACTACCTTAACTGATTTTCTCTCATCTTATCTTCAATTGCAGCCACTCCTAATTGACCTCAGATATCCTCGTTCTTAATCTTGTCCTTTTCCGTGTGTCCACACATCCAACGAAACATTTTCATCTCTGCTACACTCATTTTTTGCACGCTTTGATATTTGACTATCCTACATTTTGTGTCATAAAGCATTACTAGCTTTATTGTCATCTTACAAACTTTCTCCTTGAGCTTAGTGGCATGCGATCATCGTATAACACACCTAATGCACTCTTCCACTTCATTCATCAAGCTTGTATTTTATGGTTGATATCTAAATCAATTCCTTTTTTTTTTATTTGCAAGATAGATACATGATAACGAAAGCGTTCACTTTTTAGTACTTTCTAGTCTCCAATCCCCAACCCTACCTCATTTGGACCCCCATTCTGCTGAACTTGCACTCCATATAGTATGTCTTTGACCTACTTAGGCGAAGACCTATGGATTTCAATACTTTCTGTCAAAGGTTAAGCTTCGCATTTACTCCCTCATGCGTCTCACCTATCAACACTATATCATCTGCGAAAAGTATACACCTAGGAATTTCATCTTGAATATGTCTCACTAACTCATCTATTACCAATGCAAAAAGGTAAGGACTTAAATGTGAGCCTTGGTGTAATCCTATGGTTATGAGAAAGCTTTCAGTTTGTCCTTTATGAGTTCTTATTGCAGTCCTTACTCCATCTTACATGTCATTTATTGCATGTGAATATGTTACTCGCATCGTACTAATTTCTTCTCTAGAATCGGCTAAAGGATTTCCTACCCTACCATACGCTTTTTTCCAAGTCTGGAACAACCATGTGCAAATCCTTTTGCATATCTCTAAATCACTCAATCGATCTTTGTAAGAGATAGATTGTCTCCATAGTCGAGCGCCTTGACGTAAACCCGAATTGATCTGAGACCCGTCTCTTTTGCCTCAATCTATGCTCAGTTACTCTCCCACAAAGCTTTATTGTAAGACTTATTAACTTAACATCCCTATAAATAACAACCAAAAGAACTTCAAATTAAAAACCATCATCAAATAACCAACACTCAATTCAATTGAGAGACAGTCTAATTAAAAACAGTTTTAAATAGAGGTGGCATTTTGGAGCTGACCAGTTAACCCGACCTGACCCTTTAAAATAAATATTTGGGTAGAAGCTTAATGGGTTGGGTTATTAATGGATGAACCCGTTAATGACTTGTTATTTTACAGGTTATTTCGGTTCACCCACGAACCCATTAAGACCCATTAATTGAGGATGTTTATGTAAATTCATTAAAAGAAAAACTAATCCCTACTTCCTTCTCAAATCCGTACTCCCCCTGTAGTCACTCATCTCGTCCTCCTCCGAGCAAATTGTAACCTCTATGCGATTCTGCAAAAACCTAGCTTAGACCACCATTCTCATCCTTCGCGGTTTTGTACCACACAGTTCCACAGTCGTGTTCTCCTAGCAGTTGAAGCGTCGCCGCTCGACCGATGGCCAAGAAGCACCTACTGAACACCAAGAGAAAACTTCCATGCCATTTTCAAGTCGGTAGAACTCCCATTTTTCATTTTCATCCATTTATATCATATTTCTTTTTCAATTATATAAAAATTGAAATTTATGAGTTATTTGATGTTTTGAGATTTTTTATGGAGTAGGATTATCTCCTCTCTTTTTTTCCCTCCCCTTCCCTCCCCTCTTATTTGAACGCCCATGGTTAAGCCACGTCAACATCTTATATTAATTTTTTATAAAAAGAGAAAGACAAAATAGAGAATGTGAGAGAAGGGGATGGAAAGAGAAGGGGAGAGAATCCTAGTCCATTTTTTTTATTGTGTAGATTCACAGGGACGAAAGAGAGTGGTTATGTTGGATTTTGTTAGATTGACGGGCCCGAGGGGCCCCACTCTAATACTACCGATATTGTTCCCAACTTATCACTTGTCCAGGCTGTCAGGTGTGATGTTTTATCATAAAAGACATCGATATTAGTTAGATTGAGGTAATTATATTTAAATCTTTTTTTTTTTTGCACTCGCCAATGTGGGATTCCAACAGGTTATGGAGTAGGTGCTCCAAACTATTCTCAAAATGGTCCCTATGGTGGCTCTGCAGTAAGTCAGGGCTCAAACATGATGGGTGGAAACCAGAATCAACAATATGGTTGGCAGTAGTAGACTCTTAGTCTGATATGTAAGAGCAACCATATAAGCTCTATAATAAACTAGCCAAGAACATAAGATTTAACCAACTAAATCATAATCATCACTCCAAATATATTCTGTATATGCAAATATGAAGTAATATCTGCAACACATACCTGCAAACTGTTTGCCGAAGTCTTTTCCGTGCGTTCTATCATAATAGTCCTTCATAGTTTGTTGTATGATCTCCCTATCCCACACATGGTGAAGGTTGGATTTGTGTCTGTACCAACGCAAGGCTATTGAGTTTCCTCCCTCATCTGATAAAACCCGACATGCATAGGCTGATGAATATCTCCCATAGCAACACACATGTTCTTCATGGCATTGATCACATGAAAGAATAGTGCTAGACACCATATCATAACTATGTTCAACAAATTAGGATTAAGAGCCATTAGAGAAATTTACACACAACCTTCTCCTACCTGCAAAACTCAATGCTCTCAAAGTTATAGGTAATTGGAACAATAAGAGCGTGTTTTTGGGAGAGCATGTGCTTGTGGTTTTATACTACAAGACCTGGATCGCCCTATAACAATCCCACAAGAAATACAAGATTGCATTCCTTATACCAATATGAGATTGGATTAACTCTTGTCAACATGATTTAGACTTCTTCATAATATCAATTATCCCAAGACTTGTAAGAATCATACTCCTACTTTTACATTCTCCCACTTGAGTATGATTCATCACAAAAAAATAATCATCTCAAATTATTATAAAGGTGATCGCATAAGTCATTCATCAACACACTAGTACATAGACAACCAGCTTACATAAGCCAAAGCAATGAATTTATAATTGCCTCTGCAACACAAAATACAGATTTAACTTACAAATCACAATGTCCAGTTCATGTTCATAGCAATGTATCTAAGCTCAAGAGTAAACCAAGATGTCTACTCCCACTCATATAGCCCAAAATTGATATAAAATTATTCATAATTGTATGAATAGCACAGTTATATCAATCAACAGCTTTATCAGATCACCAATCCTTTGGATAACAAAAGCTTAACCTCACATACAACTTACCTATGCATTTTAAAGTACTGAACTTAAGAATCTTTTATGTTACATCGCAGAATTAACTCAAAAGTCACAACATACTTAATTTGCACTTCGTAATTATGTATACCAATATAGCAAAACCAAACCAATTTGCTCCCACTTATCTAGGTCATACTTAACCAAGTTAAGTTAAGTACACGTTAATAGCACCTATATTAACTAAAAAATCATTTCAATACAATGAATGACTAATCAGAATCCATATGGAAACCAAATTTGTTTCCTTTTGAATGCTAACCGATATAATAATTGCTTCAATAAAACCATAAATTGGTTTTAAGCATCCAAATGAATTATAATGGCCGGCCTAAATACTATTAGCCTTATGCTTACATTCGAACAATTGATTCTCCCACTTAAACATAAGCAAAATGTACTGCACATCCAATAAAGAAACCGGAAATATGAACCAATTGGTTCCCGATTCCTCACCAATTGCATATTCTCAGTTTAGTCATATACACCTAAACCATTATGCAAACTGTCTATGTATCAAAAGATAGTCTCAATCCATTCGGAATAACTTATCTCACATAAACCCAAAATCACCAGTTTCAGCAATAATCAAAATTAGAATAGCAAGCACAATATTTTTGCATTCAATTTGATCCTAACTAGTTCAATATCCATTGAGCAAGATCAACCAAATTTTGATAATGTCTGGATATATATCACAACAATATGTCTTGATTAAAACGAGATAATCAAGACCACTATTTCTTCTGGAGAACTCAAAGTTCATCTTCCTCCTTATTTGTGATTTCAACCAAAACATGATAGCGGAAGCACGCATCATAAATGAAATCACAAATATACATATACAATAAGCATGCATCTTAAACTCCATGATTTTCACAATACAATAAGCACAGGCTTCCTTATGAATTCACAAATTAAATCAAAATGCATTCGACAATGTCAATTTGTGTTGTACAAAAATATAGACAACAACTCACATAAGCTAATTTGTTTATCATCCCTATATATGGATGACACAAGCTAATTCTCAAAATTTATAGCTTGACCTATATAATCATACCAGTAAATTTTTAAGGTTAAGGTCAATGCCAAAACAACTAATTAAATTTTCAATGCCATGCATTTAAGTTCAAACGATGCCATTCATCTCCCGATCAGTTTTTAAGTCTTAAACCTATATATACAAAATACCTAATCAGAGTTGGCAACGTAACATTTCAGATTGAAGTCTCACGCAATGCCATTGATTCTCAAGGATCAGTTTCAAGTCTTCAAGCCACAAAATCTAATTTGGGTCAACTAATGAAAATAAGATCATTACAAAATAAAACCCAAATTACACCAATGCATACATATCCGCCATATATGGACAATAACAATTCTACCCTAAACATATTTCACATATATATGTTCATTCATCTGTTCATATATTTTCTTGTATGCATGCATCAATATGCAATGTCTACGCACGAATGCTATATCTATATACATATTCAATTAGCAAAAAAAATCCCTACATGATACTCAAACCCAAATTGATGCATTTAGTTTATGTATCATAAATAGGAACAATGCCATCCAAATTCCATTAGTTTAATATTTAGAACCACTTAGTCATTAAGCATATATACTTGCCAAAATTCATTCAGACAATATCATTTTATGGAGTACACGTGCAGTCAAAATGATTCCATCCCAAATTGATATTCATCGTATATGTCCCAACACCAAACAGACAAAAGAGAACAATAGGTGTTGTATATGAACAAGTTTTATCCTCCACCCTGACAATTTTTAATATAACCATAGACTCTTTAAAATAGAAGAGCATATGTAGATCAAATGCTACACCAATTATGCGGCAAAGGATGATTTCAAACATCTCACGTAAATCACAAGTTGGCATCTATATAGGGATTTCGAGTTTAATCATGCGTTCACAATATATATATATATATATATATTTATGTATGTATGTATAAATAAACAAGCATACTCGAAATAACAAAAGCCCTAATTCATCATACTCTAACTCATCACACTATAATCATGCATATAAGAGAACAATTAATCATGCATGAAACAGTGGACTGAATTACCTGAATGCATCACTAGACCCCTATTTGTCAACCCGATTGCACTTCCTCAACTCCAAATTATCCATCAATGCTCGAGACCCATCCATGCGGATTGCCATTACTCCTAATTCCCGTGGACCTCGTACCATTGTAGATTATCGAAGTCAATCGCCATTGTTACAAACATGCCGAACCAAAATCATCGCCAAAGTTATTGGCCAGAATCTCGTCGGCACCAATTCCTAGAAAAAAGACAATTAGCATATCAGAATACAAGTTTATTCATTTACACTAATAATACAAGGGGAATTAATAAACCAAAATTATCTCAATCTACAAACATCATAACCAACTACAGCGGAAGCAATGTATTCAAAATCAAAATTCTGATGTTTAAATAGAGATATAATTTACTAATTTGATATATGCATCTTCAATTATGCAGTCGTGGGAAGAAAATCTTCAACCCATATCGAGAATCGCAAGTTCTCACCTTGTTCAGACTGGTAAAAAAATTTGAAAAGACAAAACCCTATTCTTTGTCTTTTAAGTAGTCAACAATCATAAAATTAAACTTAAAGGGTATGCTGCAAATTGTGTCGTATTAGTTGTTCTTTGAAAACCAAATAGACAGACTTGATATAAAAGACTTAGTTTGCTGCAACATTGCAGATTTTTAGGAACCAGTTTTTGATCGAATTTAGTTGTTAAATTCACAGGCTCTGATACCACATGTAAGAGCAACCATATAAGCTCTAATAAACTAGCCAAGAACATAAGATTTAACCAACTAATTCACAATCATCACTCCAAATATATTCTGTATATGCAAATATTGAAGTAATATATGCAACACATACCTGCAAGCTGTTTGCTGAAGTCTTTCCCGTGCATTCTATCATAATAGTCCTTCATAGTTTTTTGTATGATCTCCCTATCCCACACATGACGAAGGTTGGATTTGTGTCTGTACCAATGCAAGGCCATTGAGTTTCCTCCCTCATCTGATAGAACCCGACATGCATTGGCTGATGAATATCTCCCACAGCAACACACATGTTCTTCACGGCATTGATCATAGGAAAGAATAGTGCTAGACACCATATCATAACTATGTTCAACAAATTAGGATTAAGAGCCATTAGAGAAATCTACACACAACCTTCTCCTCTCTGCAAAACTCAATGCTCTCCAAGTTATAGGTAATTGGAACAATAAGAGTGTGTTTTTTGTGAGAGCATGGGCTTGTGGTTTTATATTACAAGACTTGGATCGCCCTATAACAATCCCACAAGAAATACAAGATTGCATTCCTTATATCAATATGAGTCCTATAAACGAGCAAACACAAGAGTCCTCAATATACCAATATGAGATTGGATTAACTCTTGTCAACATGATTTAGACTTCTTCATAATATCAATTATCCCAAGACTTGTAAGAATCATACTCATACTCTTCCATGATCATTATAATTTATTATGATATGCACTTCCTTGGTCCAAGGGATATGAGCTCGATGTTTTTAGCAAGTGTGATCCCAAGGGTTCAAAGAGAAGCATCATTGAACCGCTGCTAAATAATTTCTACAGGATGTGATTGATTCATATGAAAAATATTCTTAAACCAGTGTTACGGTCTAACTTCTAACTTCTACCTGTTAATCTATTATACTTAGAAAAAATATGCAGAAAAGCGGGAAGTTGTCGTACAAAATGTGTTTGAGTTACTTCTGCAAAATGTAAAAAAAATAATAAGAAATTGTTAACGGTAGTTAACAGGTTAAACGGGTGACCTGTTAGCTTAACGTGTTGAGTTTGGACGACCCGTTAGCTTAACAAGTTGAGTTGAGTTTCGGTGATCTGTTAGCTGAAGGAGTCAGGTTAAAATCGATCTAAACCTAATAAAACCAACCCGTTTGCATGTCTAGTTTTAGACCCAGTGATGGAGCTCATACAGAAAAAAGAAAAGAAACTATTTACCAAACAATTTTTTTTTTAAAACAAAAGTTAAAACTTATATTTTGGTGAATTTTTCCCTATCATCATGTTTATCCACATTTCTTCCATTAAATCCTTTTGTTGCTTTTTCTTTACTGAAGTGTGACATTTTGAACGAAAATGAGATGAAATGTGGAATAATCATAATTGTACAGAAAAATATGATCAAGTGGTCAACAAAATATGTTGAATTAATTGCAATTCTTGGCTTTTGATTGACAGGAAATGAATGCGGTGAAACACTAGCTTACAATGGGTTTAACACATTTTTTTAGCCATGTATTAATTGGTAATCCACTTTTGAAGGAGTCATTGTTAAGCATTACCAATCATTTGTATGCCCCAAATTTGAAAATAAAAAAGAACATAAACGACCTTCGAGACGAATGATCTCTCCACCTCACATTTCCTAACAGAAGCAACCGTCATTCGGAGCTACTACCCTTATAAATACCTCATGACTCCACATTTTGGAAAGCAGGGGACACAAAAAGTATTATTCAGTGCCCCAATAAGTGACCCCAACAGCTCTGCAGCAACTCACCTGAAAAAGAAATCTTCCTTGTTTCTTTTTCGCCACCAGAATCTACATCAAAAAAATATTAGTTAGTTTTTTAGTAATTTATATATATTAATTCAAACATGGGCCAAGCAGATGGATCTAACAAGAAGAAAAAGCTCGCCATCATCGGCGCCTCTGCCCTGATTCTGGTGGCAATGGTAGTTGCTGTAACTGTTGGGGTCACAGTATCACGCCGCGGTGGAGGGTCATCCGACGGCCACACCTCCACGTCCACAAAGGCGATCCAGGCCATTTGCCAGCCCACCGACTATAAGAAGACATGCGAGGAAAGCCTGTCAGGCGCGGCCGGTAATGTCACCGATCCCAAAGAGTTGATCAAAGTAGGGTTCCAAGTCACCATGGACATGCTCCGCGGCGTCATTGAGAAGTCCACCACGTTGAAGGATTTGGCTAAGGACCCCAGCACCGGAGATGCACTCCAAAACTGCAAGGAGCTCCTGGAGTACGCCATCGATGATTTAGGTGACTCGTTTGACAGGATTGGGGCCTTCGACATGAGCAAGCTCGATCTTTACGTGGAGGATCTCAAAGTGTGGCTCAGCGCTGCCATGACATACGAGCAGACTTGCTTGGATGGGTTCGAGAATACCACTGGTGACGCCGGTGAGAAGATGAGGGAGTTCTTGAAGACATCGCAGGAGCTCACCAACAACGGCCTCGCCATGGTCGACCAAGTTTCCACGATGTTCGGGGCTCTTAATGTCAAATCCGGCCGCAGACTCCTTGAGGCTACAGCTGGAACTGGTGCGAAGAAGTTCCAGAAGGCTAAGGTCATCCCTGCTTGGATTGATAATCGAAGGCTTGACCTCGCTACCGCCACTCCTCAGACGCTGAAACCCGATGTGGTGGTGGCCAAAAAAGGGGGTGGTAAGTACACGACTGTCAACGAAGCCTTGAAGGATATCCCCAAGGACAACGCAGTGAAGGTCTTTGTGATTTATGTTAAGGAGGGAGTGTATGAGGAGCACGTCCTGTTTGATAAGCACATGACCAATGTCATGCTTATAGGAGATGGCCCCACTAAGACCATTATTACCGGTAGAAAGAACTTTGCAGAGGGTACCAAGACAATGCAGACTGCCACAGTCGGTAATTCAATTTTTTTCCTCTCTAATCAGACATATTGTTATTATCAAACTATAAATTAGGACATTCAATCTGACGTGCATGTTATATTGCCATATTTTGTACGAGGCCTTTCAAACATGATTCTACTTTTATCAACAGTTTAGATTCACAGTCTGGTTGGTATATGTACGTTATATATGTAGGTGTTGTGGGAGACTACTTCATTGCAAGGACATTGGATTTGAGAACACAGCCGGAGCTGTCGGACACCAAGCCGTGGCTCTACGTGTACAGTCAGACTTGTCCATCTTCTACAACTGCAAGATGGATGGGTACCAAGATACCCTATACACCCAAACTCACAGGCAATTCTACCGCGACTGCACCATCAGTGGAACCATCGACTTCATCTTTGGTGATGCTGCCGCTGTGTTCCAAAACTGCAAGATGATCGTCAGGAAGCCACTCGAGAACCAGGCCTGCATGGTGACTGCCCACGGTAGACTCGACAGACGTTCTCCCTCGGGTATCATCCTCTAAAACTGCACCATCTCTGGCGAACCGGGCTACGAGAAGGACCTGAACAAGGCATACTTGGGCAGGCCATGGAAGAACTACGCAAGAACAATCGTCATGCAGTCCCAGATCGATGACGTGATCGCTCCAGAAGGGTGGATGGAATGGATTGGATCAAACAATCACCAATCTTGCTGGCTCGGTGAGTTTGGCAACAGGGGACTCGGTGCCGATCAGAGCAAGAGGGCGACATGGCGTGGAATTAAGAAGCTTACCGCTCAGCACGCCGCGGACTTCACCGCTGGGAGGTTCGTGTTCGGTGATAGATGGATTCAGCCTAGTGGTGTGCCCTATGTCGCTGGCATGATGCCGTAAGTGTAGATATATAGAGCCGTTAGATTAATCTTATATTTTTAAATAAAGACAAAAAAAATTTACTCTTCTTATATGTATTGAATCAATTATAGCATTGTAATCGAAAAATAAAAAATTAAATTAATTATAGCGTATATACTTTGATAACGTACTGTCAAGGCTTTTGCATGAATTGTTAATTATACCATTGATTAGTTTGCATTCTTGATTAAGGATATTCCTTGATAATTATAAGGATAATATACTATGAGTATACCTTAAATCCTTCAAAACCCTAATCCTTAACCCTACAACCACGAGAAATTTTTCAATGTACCTAAAACACGGGCACATACACCATGTATAATGGCATATGTGTTAGCCTTATAAGGTTATATAATTAAAACACAAACGAAGAAATGACTGATCTGATTCCAACGACGATCATAGAAGTCGAACACGAAAAGAAGTGGGCACGACAACACCAAGATCTTCTATAAGCTCATAGCCGAATACAACTACTCTATAGGAAGCATTATGTTGTGTGTTCTAGGGCTTATAGGGACCAGTGTTTTATATAGGCTAAAAGCTAGGGTTTCCATCCATAAAGGAAACCTAAACTTTACTTTCTTAGCCTCCAAGTCAAGTATCATAATCATATTCAATTAAGGATTCCATCAATCATATTTCCAATATAAGACACCTTATATAGGATTGATATCTTTAAGAGATCAAATCACAATCAACAATATTCTCCAATATTACATTCCTATTACATGTCGTAGTAGACCACTTAACGGTTGATTTATATTGGATAAATCCAACAATCTCCCACTTGGTCTACAAAATGTAATATTCACTTTTATACTTGAGATAGGAGATTAATGTCACTTTAGTGGCCATGTAACAGTGATTACATCTCGTCCTTAATGCAGCTTCTGTCAAATGCATTTCTTAACATGGAACTAACAAGGTTGTAGGGTTGACACAACCCAGAACCTTCATAATCACACATGCTAAGATCCTCATTCACAAGAAACACAAATTATGATCAAGAGATGAAACTTTAAATTAAACCTTAAATTAACCAAAATGTCTTACTTTATATCATCTCAAGTCCACCTTATTGTAACTTAAAGTTACACTTTTTGCTTCTTCGAACCTTAAATCAGCCAATACAGATATCCTTCATCTAATGAAACCACCATAACATGCAGGTGTGAATACATCTCCAAAATAATCATGCATCACTTTCATTAGATCAGTAACAATACAAACAATGTTTGTAGCCAATGAACACAACTGAAAATACCAAATATGTACATGTCCAAGTAAAATATCCCAAAAACTTCATAAAACAAATTAATTCAACACTTGTGAGTAAGATGAATTAATATGTTTTTGACACTGATCTATGCACCATACCAGTTACTTTCATAATGATTTCCAACACCTGCGAGCAAGATGGAAATCCTCACAACTGAGGCAGTGCACAAACCATGCCATACCATTTAATATACAATTTGATAACAACTTGATATCCGATATATATTTCATCAGATAATTGACTAGCACACGAAAAATGTGACTTAATGAATCCAACTAGAGATTAAATTGAATACATGGATTCTATACATACCTTATAAGTCATCTGCAAATGTAAGACATTACTAACACGAAACTCAAACTCCCACTAATCTGCAACATCATTACTTAATTTACAAATCAATACATAAATCATACTTTTGAAAATATGCCTTTGGGAATAGCCTTACTCAGTCAATGAATGCATATTACCTCAATGAAAGGTACAACTAAGCACGAAAGCATTCATCACTGTTACACAAAAACATGCATCCAACAACCATCTTATATGTATTAATAAGTCCACATTTATGCTAAGTCCTTATGAGCCTCAAAACAAATGATCAACCAAGAAATCCAAATGATTGCAAGTAACAGAAAAATGTATGCATATACCAAGTATCCATTCGTGCAACTTAAACATATTATAGACATTCAAGTAACACAAATTCATGGAAGATAGAATAACGCTTTAATAGATTCATGCAAGTCCACTTAATGCTCAAAAATTTTAGAACAACTACCACTAAGTTTTCAGAGTTTATACTTGCAAATAAGTTAATGAGTGTGAAGCCCAATTTTCGTTCACTAATTCTCCCACTTGGGCAAACACTCTTTGAAGGATGTACCTAAATAAAATTGCTTTATATTTTAGACATAATAAAATAGACATTACAATCAACATAAAGTTGTCAAACAGAATTTTCAGCAATGAGTTACACTTACTTTAGAATTAATCATAATTAATTTATAAGCTTGATCGCTACCAAATTTATATTGATCAAAATAGACATACTAATCTTCATAAAATAAAAATATAGAGCCGTTTTGGGTCAAAATAGTGGTCTAAAATCACGTCTCTAAATCACGTCTAAAAAAGACCAACACAATCTGCCAGTAAAACTGTCTATACGAGCATGGGTTACTAGTAAATTCACCATAATTAAAATACATGGCAAAAAATTACGAAAATTTGCAGATACATAGTAGACTTGTATATGTTGAACATAACAAAACTTCAGGTCATTTGGTGACCAATAGACATATCATTCACCCGATTTAAATCAAGACATGCAATCTCCCAAAAACAATTATGTACATCTATCATGAATTTATACATCCATAACAAATTCAATTTCATATCATTTTAATTTCGATGTCCAAAGGAAAATTTAGTAGTCAAATTTTATCCCCTAAACCGACATCACAGTTCAAAATGAAAAGATTTACAAGCATAAGACTTCAAACAATGCGTACCTTAGCAATCCTTGATTAACCTTCATAGGTCCAATACTTTGCATCAACAAGTCTCATGAAGAGACACAAAATAAGTCATGATGCAACAAATTTCCATGCCTTAAAACCACAACCTATTATGGGGCTCATAGTGGAAATATTTGTAATTGATGGCATGGAACTTTATCCCCAATAAACTTCATGAAACTAAATTAATTTACACCCGTAGGTAAGAAAATTAACTAGTTTCTAGTACTAGATTTTATGTCACAGAAGTACCTTCATGAAAAACTTCAACACATGTAGGCAAGATGAAGATTTTCACAATTTTTGTGAAATAAAACCCATACTATGCCATCTTAATTAAACTAAAAGAAGTAATCCACACCTGTAGGCAAGAAGATTATCCCTTTTATTCTAATCAAGATGCAAAATCGACCGAAGTAACTCAAAACATAGTCTCATCATCAACTAAAACGTTGCGGCTTCCTTTAGTTGAAAAGACATTTATCAACTTCGTCCTGAAACAATACAAAAGTCACATGGATTAATTAATTGTAAGTGACAAAATTATGATAACCTGATTCGAGCTTCAAGTCTTGCCAACAAATGACACTAATTCCTTCATGACTCCCTTTGACATTAAATTAATCTCAAGAAACCTGATAGCATACTTGAAAGAGATTAATCACATATAGAACAAGTTTTATTCCACCACAAGAATGTCAATACTTATCATTATGGAGTCAATTACTTAATAGAAATACTTTAAGTAATGGGAAAGAACAATACAAACCTTTAATTTAAAAGCTAAATTGCTCAAATATATATCAAACATATTCCTTTCCTTTTATATATTTCTTTCCGTAACACAAAACTACTAAACATGGCATTAAAACCATGCATTAGCTTTGTAAATACCAAATTAACTAAAAGGAACAACCAAAATTATTTTCTTCCATAGAAAACATCCCCAATATATGTTGTACATTAGTCTTGAAAAGTTTCTTTTCTTCTCCCCTTATGACACATAAAAATTTACTAATCAAAGCACTGTTTAAATTCTCTAGGCATAGGAAAAACCACAAACAATAATACATGTTTAAAATTCATGCTTATCAATTGAGTCACATATTTTGAATGGATTACATACCTCATGCCTTCATATATTCACCACTTCTTTGTAAACATATATATAATCACATGATCAACCATATTTCTTATATAAGAATAGATAAAAATGCAAATGAGAATTGTCACATTACTACAAACCTTATTCATTTGTATAATACCCTTGTTCTTGTCATTGGATTCTTTCTGTCATTCTCAATCAATCCATAAGTTATGCATCAATTTCATAGTTAACTAGTCATGTACAATTAAATGACTATACCGAGATAGGAAAGCAAAATTGTAGGCAAAACTAATTTGATTAGTCATGCAAATTCCTTATGGAGTTAATATCATTATAAATCGTACTTGAATTAATCCCCAATCATACTTAAATGCTAGTATACTGCATTACTAATCAACATATTTGTGTCTTTACATAAGATCATCTCAAGCTTAAAGCAATATAGGACAACCCAATCCCTTTAATAAAACACACCATATGTCAATTTTGCTACATGTTTGCAAAACTTAAAATTTTAATCCATATTGATTACTTCCCACAGTAACTAATGACATAGCAATTCAATTCAGTCTATATATATTTCCTACAGATAATCATGTAATGCAAAATGAAAACAGAACCTGCAATAATCTGTGAGGCATTTGAAGGGTGTTTAGTGTCCCCTTGTCGCCTGTCCACCCAGGACACAACTCACACAGGTGTTCTCGTGTGTGGCAGTAAAAAACCCCCCTAAACTTGCGGCTGTAGCTTTTGATTCCAACAAGGTCGCTCATGTCGTTCTAACAAAATCAGCCGCGAACAAACAAGATAGATTTGACATTTACATACTTCTTGGCATGTATGCATATCCCATTTACCGACACTTATGCAATTATTTCTTGTTAAATTGGAGTATCACCTCAAGCCGTTTTGTAAAGAACAAATCAGTGAATGTGTAATATAAATTTATGGCAACCAAATTATATCATAACGGTACCTTTACTGGAGTAATATTTCAGATAAATTGCAAAACCTCAAATTTATCATTGCTCTATTGAATTATAAGTCTATAGTTGATTAGTATTAGTGAAATAAGATGAGTTTACTTTGTGAATTCACTTGAGCATATCTGCCAAGTGTGAGATTAAAAGTTGTAAGGCTAAAATAGCTAAGTGTAGTGATCCTATGATTTAGTTAGATGTGTGGCTGAGATCAAATGTGAGTATGTGGATCCAGCT